CGGATACTTGTCAAGGTGACGTGAATACTGAGGAATATACGGGTAGTCAGTAATACACGCAATAATTCTGTTGAGCAAAAGTATAATTTAGAGAAGATGTCCACAGATCCAACTTTTCTATAAAATGAATCATCTCAACACCTTCCCTACTCATCCGGGAAGCAGAAGCAAATTAAACTTCGTCAGGCAGCGTCATGAGAGCACGCCAAACCAACTATCTAGCAGTTGATCATCAGTACCAGCTGTAAAGTTGAAAACAGACTTCTCTACTTGGCCGAAGCTCAACTATATTTTATGATCTCCTGTCGACCTCTGTCGGTGTGTTCTAGGTCCATTCACTACCTACTTTTGGGTGCATCTGACTGCCCACCCTGTCTCGGTGTTTGCCCTGTCAAACCAACTAGTCAGTTTACGCCCCCTCCCCACCTAAAAACCCTGCCCATAATTCTCGCGCAGCAAAATTCTACCACTCGCTTTTGAGGTGCGGGCGTGTGTAGCCATTGACGGGGTTGTGAGAGAGCTGGTGTCTTGGGATTAGAAATTCCAAACGATAAAGATTATATCTGACAAGATGAATTGACGAAGAGCGATAGACTGAACCCTGAGTATCACACTGTGGTCTCAGTTTTGAGCTTGTTTGTGTGTGTTTGAGTGCACGTGCAATCGGCTCATCACTATGGCCAAAGTGTTGTACGAACAAGCAAGTAGAAAACGAAGACTAGCAAATTGAATGTACTGATTTCAATCGTTAAAGCTCATTGCAGAATTTCTGGAGTCTTACAAGGAAAAATGGTTGCATATCCTAACCACAGATTTCCAAACAGAGGTACCTGGATATCAACATATTTTGGGTATTTTAAACCAAGCCTCAGAGAAATAATAGTCCCCAAGGGAAAGAATGCATCCCTCCAACTAGACTTCCACCTATACCAACCACCTTCAGATTCACCGAAAACGTTCCATCCATATAGATCGAGGACCGTCCTATAGGTCATACGCTGATCAAAACGGCCAGGTGATACCCCTCGTTATACCAAGGTGCCATCCATTTTTATTGCTGGGCCATAATTAATGGGGATGGAGATCGCCTAATCATGCATGTTTAGAATTCCGCTGGTTTCTCATGAAATGCTGGATGATAAGAGAGCAAATAGGACATAGGCCGTCGACGAATTCGAAGGTCTTCTCTCTGACATGATCCACACAAGAAGCTCAACTCACGCACGAGATCTTGCTTGTAGCAAGAATGGCAGTCTGTTGAATGTAACGAACTCACTTTATCTACAGGAATCGTTCATAGGCGAATTAGGAATCGACTTGAGCAACTAAGTTTGCCAAAGTGCAATCTTCATCAACAGTCACAGCCCGAATTTTTAATTATCCTCCGCTAATTGTCCATGAACAGCCTGTACGAAAGTTCCATTGCAATGAATTGCAACTTTAATGAAATTTCCCGATTTTTCTATTTCTACCTATCGATATTGTCCAACCCCTCATTGACGAACGCTTCTCGAGTTACCTAAAATACACAAAATAGACTTTTGTTTAAACACGCAATGGATGTTGCAAAAGGTAGTTTCAAGCTTGGCTAGCCAACTCCGGTATCCCTGCTCACCATTACGGTCGCTGAAATGTTCATTCTATTACTTTTAAACAGCATTCAGGGATACCTTTCGTGTTTGATTCCAACGATTTTCGGCTGAGGTTGGTTTCTGTTAAGCCGGGCTGAAAGTATCATATTCAAAACACTTGGAGAAAAATTCACCGTGGTTTGCGAAACATTTACAACCGTTGGGAAAGTCCCGCGGATACTTGTCAAGGTGACGTGAATACTGAGGAATATACGGGTAGTCAGTAATACACGCAATAATTCTGTTGAGCAAAAGTATAATTTAGAGAAGATGTCCACAGATCCAACTTTTATATAAAATGAATCATCTTAACACCTTCCCTATTCATCCGGGAAGCAGGAGCAAATTAAACTTCGTCAGGCAGCGTCATGAGAGCACGCCAAACCAACTATCTAGCAGTTGATCATCAGTACCAGCTGTAAAGTTGAAAACAGACTTCTCTCCCTGGCCGAAGCTCAACTATAGTTTATGATCTCCTGTCGACCTCTGTCGGTGTGTTCTAGGTCCATTCACTACCTACTTTTGGGTGCATCTGACTGCCCACCCTGTCTCGGTGTTTGCCCTGTCAAACCAACTAGTCAGTTTACGCCCCCTCCCCACCTAAAAACCCTGCCCATAATTCTCGCGCAGCAAAATTCTACCACTCGCTTTTGAGGTGCGGGCGTGTGTAGCCATTGACGGGGTTGTGAGAGAGCTGGTGTCTTGGGATTAGAAATTCCAAACGATAAAGATTATATCTGACAAGATGAATTGACGAAGAGCGATAGACTGAACCCTGAGTATCACACTGTGGTCTCAGTTTTGAGCTTGTTTGTGTGTGTTTGAGTGCACGTGCAATCGGCTCATCACTATGGCCAAAGTGTTGTACGAACAAGCAAGTAGAAAACGAAGACTAGCAAATTGAATGTACTGATTTCAATCGTTAAAGCTCATTGCAGAATTTCTGGAGTCTTACAAGGAAAAATGGTTGCATATCCTAACCACAGATTTCCAAACAGAGGTACCTGGATATCAACATATTTTGGGTATTTTAAACCAAGCCTCAGAGAAATAATAGTCCCCAAGGGAAAGAATGCATCCCTCCAACTAGACTTCCACCTATACCAACCACCTTCAGATTCACCGAAAACGTTCCATCCATATAGATCGAGGACCGTCCTATAGGTCATACGCTGATCAAAACGGCCAGGTGATACCCCTCGTTATACCAAGGTGCCATCCATTTTTATTGCTGGGCCATAATTAATGGGGATGGAGATCGCCTAATCATGCATGTTTAGAATTCCGCTGGTTTCTCATGAAATGCTGGATGATAAGAGAGCAAATAGGACATAGGCCGTCGACGAATTCGAAGGTCTTCTCTCTGACATGATCCACACAAGAAGCTCAACTCACGCACGAGATCTTGCTTGTAGCAAGAATGGCAGTCTGTTGAATGTAACGAACTCACTTTATCTACAGGAATCGTTCATAAGCGAATCAGGAATCGACTTGGGCAACTAAGTTTGCCAAAGTGCAATCTTCATCAACAGTCACAGCCCGAATTTTTAATTATCCTCCGCTAATTGTCCATGAACAGCCTGTACGAAAGTTCCATTGCAATGACTCTTGAGGACTACTTATTATCACTGCTAGGTTATAAACAACTTTTTCGATAGCGACAGCCCAGGAAAGTGAGACTGAGGTGGAATGATAGAAGAATTGTCATAACCTTCACATAACATCTTAATTGGGCTTGTTCATAGTCGTAGCGGATAGCAAAGTTCAGGGACGTTTAGAATGTTAACGAAAAATTCTGTCTACTGCATAGTATTTCGGCCCACAAGTGCGATTCTCGGGTCGATGATCAAATGTAACCTAGGTCCTCCCTTACAGCAACAGTTACCGTGACACCATACGGCGTAATGAATTGTGGAATTCTGGACGTGCATTAAAATGCAGCGTGATATTGCATAGTATGACCGTCTCTCGGCATGACAAATAAAATGGAAAGGGAACAAGAGATGAAGTGAAAATCACCCTCGGGTGAACAAACTCTCACCTAGTGACAAGACTTAATACTGGTACACCACAGGACGAAAAGTTATTCTGTCGGGCTATGCAGCCCTGTCTCACTTCAGGCACAGACCCACATATCCTGCCGAAGGTTAACTCCGATCAGTTGCCTTTGGATCAAGTTTTTCTGGCCGTCACCTACCTGCCCAGTTAGGCCGGTATGGGACGGACGGGTAACTGTCACATTTGAACGAGTCACGAAGCTTGTGTTTACGTCCTTCACGTTCCCATCGCGTTGAAAAAAGGGGTAAGCCTGACCCGTGGGGGGATAGAACTAATGATACACCGATACCAGTTGCAAACTCTTCTTTCCCAAATAGATGATCAGTTACCTGATATGTCCCAGACAATGAGATGTGTTTCGCAACGTCAGTACATTCTTGTGACCGCGTAACCGACATTAATATCAGTGGGCAAAAATATCACAAACGAGAAATTCAGCTGGTTTCCAGGCGAGTCACCCGTCAAACCAAATTGGTATGTAAATAAGTGTATTTCACTAAAAAATGAAATTTGTAAGACCAAGTGTTAAGTGAATCAGACAAACCAAATACAGACCACTGTTTGGTGTCTTCGAACCCAGAGGAAATTTCCTCCACATGAGGGAGTAAAATTATTCAACGTTGTGGATCCCTCTTAGGGTTACCAAACACTCTTTAAGACAACATCAGGTCGAAGATTTAAGTGGGATCCAGTGAACATAACATAGCAGGTCAATGGCAATAAGTACTATCTGGTTACTGACATCATATATAACCGGTTTTCTAAAATACCTTTTCAACCTTCCTACATTTCTGGTTGGTTGACTAAAACCTGGTGCTTATGGTACTCTCCTTTCTTTGATTGATATACCGCTGGTAAGTTTGGGCTCTTTAAAAGTTTACAGGAAGCGGGTTCCGTTATGACACTCTTAGAAAAGTTGTTCTTTGTTAGGACATTGTACTCATTCTCACTTTCATCGGGAAACGGTAGCGTCTATGTCTGAGGACAGCCTATTTTCTTGCTCGTGGATTCTTGCTCGGATTGACCGAAGCAAAAGGTGATGAGTGGCTAACACTTCATTTATAGGGAGAAGTTGTTCATCCAGCCACCGCAAAACAGATTCCAACTTACGGGATACCGATGGTGGCCCTCATAAGGGATTGATGATTAGGTTAAAATCTACCGTTCAAACGAGAGAACTGTTTCACAGCACACAATTTCCACGTGGTAAATTTCTTTACTCATTTGTTAGCAAGTAACCTGGTTCGATTTGTTTTCATTCTGTACCTAGTCACGTCGTTTAATCTTGACGCTAACTCTATTCATTTTTAGTTCATTGTTTCGAGAGATGGGAATTGTGGTCTCAATTACGAACATTCTGTGGCTGAAGGTATAGCTGTAATTCGGCTCACAGAGCACATTCTCGAATACATGTAAGTCCATGCCAGAAACACATCGATCTTTGCCAACTATGCTGAATAGCGTCGGTTGATGCTGTTGCATGCAGGTCACTTCTGGTTAGCTGTCTATATGGAGAGTATGCCAGTTATGTGAATTTTTATGGAACTTGAACAATGTGAATACACAATTCCAACAAAATATCATCAGGAAAAGCCAAACGATGTTACCCAACTAGCTCAATGAGTTCACATACTTCGGCCTTGCTCTCCTCGAGAACCCAGATCTAGAGAGAATTGAGCTTCTAGCATTCACGTTTCTGAGGTTGCCTCCTATGATGTAATTAGGCAGAGGAACATCGCTGGACAGCTTGAATGACCCTGTTCACGTACATTGAAGTGACTTATGACATCTTCCTTGGAGAAACAATTCACGACTTAAAGATGCAGAAAACAGCTCAACCAACTGTTGTTTCGGGAGGTGGGATGATCAATTTTGAGCATAATCGTAGAAAAATATGAAGAACTGTTCGGTCAGTCATGAGTTGGTAACTGTCTTTCTGGTACGCATGAGTCAACTAGACGAGAAATACTTGTGAGACCACTGCAACTTGCCAGGATTTAGCTCCTTTGAATGAAGTCGAAGAGAACTACTTCACAACAGAAGCTGCTGTATTGGATGAAGAACTAAGTTTTTATTGAGGGGAATAGCACACTGATGCGTCTAATGAGACCACAATCTTCACTCGGATTGTGATTTTCGCCAAGCCAATGTGTGGATTCCTCCTGTGGCAATCGAAAAAAAAACGTATACCAGCATAGTGGTATGGAGTGATCAGGCGAGTGATGGACGAAATAACGGGACAAAATGAGTGCCACTTACACAACATCTTGGACGCATAGGTAAAGGACTCTGAGATGTCTATCGGTTCCCTTGAAGTGCATTTCGGTTATAAGGTTTGATGGGAAACGAGGCCTCTTGTACACTAATTAAATTGGCATTCTCTGTATCTGATTTACCACCAGTTGGTGACAGGAAGCCGGTGGGAAAATCTCAGCATCAATAAGAAGTAAGTTTGACGGAACATCATGTACCTTTGAATGGCCACTGAAAGACAAAAATTGGAGAAGGGTTTAATAGATATTTAGATGGGGATTCCAAATGCACATATCATGGAATAAAAGACAAGATCTTCGGACAGGCATAAACCACTGGAAGAGTGCTCTCCCAGCTGAGCTGCCAAGGATCCTCCTCCGAAAAAGCAACTGAGTTACGTGAAATTACTGCCTATCTAACTTTGCTGATACACATTCAGGACAATCCGGCATCCTTGTTCAGCTTACCTCCTCATGTGGAAATGGATTCGACTTGGAGAAATTCTGCTCAACCTAGATTTCACTCCGTGAATGAAGTCATTCTTTGCTGAAGAGCTCAAAATTACTCATGTGTGTCGGTGTAACACTATGTTTCCTCCTTCTTAGGAAGCACCAGCGGTACACAAATCAAGAAACTTCGGAGAGTTTTAAACTTGGAACTTCTCATCTAGTAGCTGAACACTTAATCGTTTGGTTATCAACGGCTGATCAACAGTACTGAGTGTTGTGCAACAAGCTAGGGAGTCCCAAGAAAGTTGTGTGATGTCTAGAGCTTTCCTTAAGAACTACGGACTAAAAAACTAGGTTATTTTGTGAACCATCCAGTCCTGAGCAGCTTCTCTACTGGGGGCTTGTTGTCAGTGACCTATGATAAGCTGAACTGGATCAAGTCTGGATATATGGATCTCTACAGAAAAAAGTATGCGTTCGGTTTTTTTTACCATGTTTGGTTATGGGAACTGCCAGGTGAAAACATAGTCTTAAACATCGCATCGATTCGTCAACAAACTTTTCCTTGTGCTGGACAATAAGAGAGTTATTTGGCAAGTGAATAGAGGAGAGAACATGAAAAAAGTCTTGATAGCGAAGTCAAACAATGGCTAGCCATTGATGGTGACGAGTCGGTAAGAGATGTGTAAATCACAATGTGCTAGAACAAGTCGGACGGTACAGCACATCTCATAAACACGTCCATTGTTACTCCGACGTTACAGTGGTCTAACGCGCTGAAACTCATTTACTAAGAGGAATGGAAAGTTCAGAGGTCCAAGGTGCTAATTGCAAGCAAGAACTTTGTCAATATTCTTTCGAATGTGAAGCATTATTTTCGGACTGAAAAAGATAAAACTTAAAAATAAGGCACGAGATCTGCGGACCTAATACCATTTCAGGTTATTAAAATCGGAATAGAGTCTTCTGAAAAAGAGGTTACATTTTGAAAAAAATCACCATTCATAACGGAAAGCTACTGAATGATAATCATTCCGTAACTGAAGGGACAGTTCTTGTTGTGGCAATGGTCGTTAGTTTGTCTGCCTAGCCAAGCAATTTGGTTGCAAAAGTTTCATCATTGGTTGTGAATGATAACTTGTCGGAAAGTACTTAATTCACCAGTTTATTTACTCTCCCCGATGTTTTGCACTGAACCATCAAATAACTGGGTTGCATAACGTCGTCTCTACTGTGATCAAATTTCAGGCAGGAAGTGAAGCGGTGGCGCCTCGTTCGATTCCCCTCTGTTTGCGATTTGGCGTTTCCAAAGCGCTTGGAGTGGAACCTCGATGAAAAAACACAGGGGGTGATAACGAAGGCTCTTCGAGAGATTGATCAGTGAGTGAATCACTCTCTCACATTTGTCATAATTCAACATATCTGAGTGCGCCCTGCTTTGTTTCAATTTTGTTCCCAACCCTCCTGTCATCGCTACTTCGCCCACTATTTTTTGGCATCTCAAGCTGAATGTCTCCATGACATGCAAAGAACTCACTTGGATGACAAACTGCTGATCTTCTTGAGTGTAGTATGTGTGTGGATGTTTTCCCCTCCTCCAGTGGCACACACGCAAAATGAGAGTTCACACAACTCGAGATAATAAGCGGACCCACATATTCACATAATGCAGATACCGGTAAAGAAGAAATGAACACAACGCTATTAATAAGTGTTGTAGTACAGTGACATACAAATAGACATACACACACACCCCACATAAAACAATCTACGTAAGAAAGTTAGCTCGGGATGCGTGCAGAGGAGAACGTGGTTTGCGTTCGAATCAACATTTGTTACAGATATATTTTCCCGTGCAAACAAAAATATGCGTTCTGGAATGGAAACATTCGAAAAGCAGCTAAAAGTATTTTGGACTACTGGATGTTCGAAAAAATACAATTTATTGGTCGACGCAATGGGTGAAAAAATAATAGAAACTCAGCGTTTTAACTAGTTCTTGTATTTTCAGGTGGTTTTATTGTGACACACGGTCTAGGAAAAGATAAAATAAAGTTCATTTGTGTTCGGTTGTGAATCCGCAAACGAATTATATCCTCACAAATTTTCACTGCGGAATTAAGCTTTCCATTGCTTCAGCATTATACATAAATAGAGTTTCTTGGAGGGAGTTGACCTGCAGTGACACCTTTATGGCATACAAAATACTGTAACACCAGCTAACAGCTTATCCTTGAATCACATTACGGGATGCCTCAATGAGGCTTTTCTTGGAAGGAACGAACAACATAGTGAATTAGGTGACAGATGAGAACTGCTACAATGGCTTCCTTAGTCTGTACCGACCGGCTACTGGTGAGGTTAACCACTGTGACCATTCAGCTAATTCAGATGAAGAGTAATTTTACAAGGTGAGTGGAAATCCCTTCTAAGAGGTCGTCAGTCGAGGAACCAATAAAAACAGGACCACTTGATGTGGATTGCGTGACTGGAGAATGAGTGGCACTCTATCTTGTATAAGTGCAGTTAAGGCCATCGTCGATCAACCACCCGTTGAAAAACAGCTGAACATTCAAACTACCAGTCGAGAGGTTCGGGGTTCGAGAATTCCTGGTGTTTAATGAGTCGCGCACTACAACTTATTCCAAGTGAATAAAAAGCAGCTGGAAAGCCCTTCTAGCCCTTTACTTGCAGGACAAAATCCGAATAGAAAACCACCAAACCTTCTCACACTAGCATCAGTCAAGAACAGTTTGGTTATCTGAACAAGTCAAAAGTTGCTTTTAACGGGAGCCACAGATGTATAAACGTGTTGCATTCCATAGAATGATTCAAAATGAATGAAACAGAAAGTGATTATTATTGATTTTATGAGACGGCAAACTATACTTTGAAATGTCTGGTAGTCATTGCTGTCTTCCATTTCAGAATGACTGATTACTTCTATTCTGTACTTTTGTGCAATGAAACATCACTGGCATATTTTCTCTAGTACCAGCGTATTTGAATTCATCGAAGCTAAACGGGGAGCATTTCGTCTATATATGGTGTGCATACTTTTTCGGTGAAGTCAAAAAATCCCCCGCGTCGTTCATCACAATATTTTCTCACATGACGTCCTGAATTTACAGAATTGCCGAAGATCTGGATCTTTATATTTTGCGATACAATGAATATGGTCGAGAATTTCCAAAAACGGTCAATATGAGTCCAGACTCATTCATTCAACTTGCTTTACAGTTGGCACATTACAAGTAAGTAAATGGTACTCACTTTGGTATGCAGGCACAAGCTTGACATGACACATCTATACCGTTGCTATGGATTTTTGTTTGGTTTCATGAGATATTTCAGTACAACTCTTGAGGTGGCACAATATGAGTGTGTAAATTAATCTGGTGGGAATCCGGAAAATGCCAAAAGTGAAGCCAAGAACTCAATCTTACATAGAGAAATCGGTTGTGTGAAAAAACATCCAAAGGTAAATAAAGATTTCAAAAGGGGAGAAATGAAGAGACGATATGAAAAAGACCAAAAGGAATGGCCCCAATAGCTGCTATTCAACTCATAGGGTAACCCAAAAACTGCGTTTAGATTCGAAACTCTCTAAAAAGTTTTCTAGAAGGCTTATCAGTACGATTTGCATTATATATATATATATATATATGGCTCGTCCTCATCATAATGTCATCGTTCATTTAAAAAATGATGGTACGCATGAGTACTGTTATAAAAGGTCAAGTTTTTATAAAGCACCGTATCAGGCTCATGGATTCTATATAGCAGCATAAAAATATAAGTTCTGTTTTGCCTTTTCGTTTGAGGCATGTTTGAGCTTGCGAGCTTCCAAATTTTAGACACGGTTTTAATGTGTTGTAGACCATTTTCGCAAACCTGATGGTTTAACTGATATCCTTCACGTACAGTGAATTACATCGAGTCGGGAATAGATTTGTATACCCCGAGCAGTGAACATTCAGCGTGCAAACTTCTGAAAGACGTGAAAGTTGAGTGAGTGGTATAAAACACAATCCGAAAGAAGTGAACTGATAAAGGCGAATCTAGCGAAGGTTCAGGGCTGATACGACGTACGGTCATGAAGAGCGGCATATAACTATGGTGTCTGCTGGTAATCGCAGGTGAAGTGCGTAATTTTGTTGCGTGCATGAAGCAAATACGATGCGATAAAAAAAGCATAAATGAAAGGTTGGTTATCAGGTGATATTTCAAAACGAGGTAGGCGCGCTTACTTCTTGTGCAGCCGATACACTACCAGATGTTCCAAAAGTGTCTCAATAACCAAAATTTATGACGCCACTCTTCTCCAAAATGTCAAGAAATATGATAAGGACAGTAAGTCCGGCGGTTAAAATCACGCGATAAACCTAGTGTGCAAATAAGACTTAAAGCTTTTATCAGCTCAAGAAGATTGGAATCGCGTCTCCGGAAAAGTGCCTCGAACACGAAGGGGCTAACTGAGATTAACGATTATCGTGACTCCAAAAGGTTTAGGTCAATAGGTCTTGGAGAGCAATCATTATCAACCAAAAGCGATGGCGGGCTGTCAACAAGACCCTTAGTACACCTACTTCAAGTAGAGCAGAAAATAATATCTCACCATTTTAAAAGCGAAGAGAAGCAGGACTTCCTCGGGATCAACTAACAATTTCATTTAATCTCTCATGAAATTCCATGTGAAATTCCGAAAAGACGAAGTCACACATTCAGGGCCACCAGCATACATAAAACCGTGAAAACAACCAGAAACATTCTTGTTATGGACGCACAACTAAAAAAAGAACGAATAAAGAATAGTGATTTCTTAAAATCATCGTGCATTCCTGGTGCGGGGACCTCTCCTGAACTGAGTTGAACTGGATACAGTTAACGAAACATTGATGCACAGTCTAGATGAAACATTTTTCGTCGAGTTCTTCGGCCAGGAGCTGTGAAGGTGAACCTCGACCGACACTGCCAAAAGCAGTGAAAAGAATTCATGCGATGGCAACCAGTGTATAACGCGAATACCGGCGTTTTCTTTGGATATCAAACCGCGGTTTGGCTTGAACACTCGAACGACTGTGAAAATACAGAGATGCAGGCAGTGGGTCGATACTTCCTGATCCAGTTTTCAAAAACAGGATGTTTCTTTAGTGCTCTCCCCCTTTCAGGAAATTTTCTGCGAACATAGCAGGGGCTAGTCTGATGAGAATGATTGCAAACGATATCGCCGTAACAGATAATTGAGACAAGAGACACCGAAGCTTGTTTGGTGGTCCTGGCGCTTTCAGCCCGTCGTATATTCATCTGTGAAACGTTACAGATGGTGATTTATTGCACGCGCTTTCAGAGTTATTATTCGATTGTACATAGATGTCAATGCAGACATTAACTCATGAGTTTCAAGCATCTTCCAAGTCCTCGCTCCCATGCGTGTATCCTCCTATAGTGGGTCCTGTGGAGATCTAATTCTCACTCCGTACATGCGCAATTCATTGCCCTGTTACGAAGACCACAGGAACATTCGGCTGTTAGACAGTGACCATTATGCGGCAACTGACATCAGTTTTTGTGTTCATTCTCCCTCCACGTCTAGTTAAAGCGTATTGCTTTGCAACAAAATCCTTGCTAACATTGAGTAACATGCTCAACTAAATTATGGTCGGAGTCACTAAATCTTGGGCCTCAAATCTTCGACATTACTGGCATATCAGGTCATTGTGGAAGATGAATTAGCTTCAAGTGGCCTGAAAACAAATTTAGCCCCAATTATGTTTTATTATCCAGAGGATCGCTTGGGGAGAACTATTGATATTTAGACCTTAGAAGGGTTAGGGCGTTTGTTTCATGCTGTTTCCAGTATCGTAGATTGTAAATGTAACAGATTAGACTACATTGCATATTACATGAATGTGCCGGTAAAGCGAGAATAGACAGGAGTCGGGTGCTCCAAAGTCACTTTCAAAATGTATCCAGAGTACTGTTATAAAAGGTCAAGTTTTTATAAAGCACCGTATCAGGCTCATGGATTCTATATAGCAGCATAAAAATATAAGTTCTGTTTTGCCTTTTCGTTTGAGGCATGTTTGAGCTTGCGAGCTTCCAAATTTTAGACACGGTTTTAATGTGTTGTAGACCATTTTCGCAAACCTGATGGTTTAACTGATATCCTTCACGTACAGTGAATTACATCGAGTCGGGAATAGATTTGTATACCCCGAGCAGTGAACATTCAGCGTGCAAACTTCTGAAAGACGTGAAAGTTGAGTGAGTGGTATAAAACACAATCCGAAAGAAGTGAACTGATAAAGGCGAATCTAGCGAAGGTTCAGGGCTGATACGACGTACGGTCATGAAGAGCGGCATATAACTATGGTGTCTGCTGGTAATCGCAGGTGAAGTGCGTAATTTTGTTGCGTGCATGAAGCAAATACGATGCGATAAAAAAAGCATAAATGAAAGGTTGGTTATCAGGTGATATTTCAAAACGAGGTAGGCGCGCTTACTTCTTGTGCAGCCGATACACTACCAGATGTTCCAAAAGTGTCTCAATAACCAAAATTTATGACGCCACTCTTCTCCAAAATGTCAAGAAATATGATAAGGACAGTAAGTCCGGCGGTTAAAATCACGCGATAAACCTAGTGTGCAAATAAGACTTAAAGCTTTTATCAGCTCAAGAAGATTGGAATCGCGTCTCCGGAAAAGTGCCTCGAACACGAAGGGGCTAACTGAGATTAACGATTATCGTGACTCCAAAAGGTTTAGGTCAATAGGTCTTGGAGAGCAATCATTATCAACCAAAAGCGATGGCGGGCTGTCAACAAGACCCTTAGTACACCTACTTCAAGTAGAGCAGAAAATAATATCTCACCATTTTAAAAGCGAAGAGAAGCAGGACTTCCTCGGGATCAACTAACAATTTCATTTAATCTCTCATGAAATTCCATGTGAAATTCCGAAAAGACGAAGTCACACATTCAGGGCCACCAGCATACATAAAACCGTGAAAACAACCAGAAACATTCTTGTTATGGACGCACAACTAAAAAAAGAACGAATAAAGAATAGTGATTTCTTAAAATCATCGTGCATTCCTGGTGCGGGGACCTCTCCTGAACTGAGTTGAACTGGATACAGTTAACGAAACATTGATGCACAGTCTAGATGAAACATTTTTCGTCGAGTTCTTCGGCCAGGAGCTGTGAAGGTGAACCTCGACCGACACTGCCAAAAGCAGTGAAAAGAATTCATGCGATGGCAACCAGTGTATAACGCGAATACCGGCGTTTTCTTTGGATATCAAACCGCGGTTTGGCTTGAACACTCGAACGACTGTGAAAATACAGAGATGCAGGCAGTGGGTCGATACTTCCTGATCCAGTTTTCAAAAACAGGATGTTTCTTTAGTGCTCTCCCCCTTTCAGGAAATTTTCTGCGAACATAGCAGGGGCTAGTCTGATGAGAATGATTGCAAACGATATCGCCGTAACAGATAATTGAGACAAGAGACACCGAAGCTTGTTTGGTGGTCCTGGCGCTTTCAGCCCGTCGTATATTCATCTGTGAAACGTTACAGATGGTGATTTATTGCACGCGCTTTCAGAGTTATTATTCGATTGTACATAGATGTCAATGCAGACATTAACTCATGAGTTTCAAGCATCTTCCAAGTCCTCGCTCCCATGCGTGTATCCTCCTATAGTGGGTCCTGTGGAGATCTAATTCTCACTCCGTACATGCGCAATTCATTGCCCTGTTACGAAGACCACAGGAACATTCGGCTGTTAGACAGTGACCATTATGCGGCAACTGACATCAGTTTTTGTGTTCATTCTCCCTCCACGTCTAGTTAAAGCGTATTGCTTTGCAACAAAATCCTTGCTAACATTGAGTAACATGCTCAACTAAATTATGGTCGGAGTCACTAAATCTTGGGCCTCAAATCTTCGACATTACTGGCATATCAGGTCATTGTGGAAGATGAATTAGCTTCAAGTGGCCTGAAAACAAATTTAGCCCCAATTATGTTTTATTATCCAGAGGATCGCTTGGGGAGAACTATTGATATTTAGACCTTAGAAGGGTTAGGGCGTTTGTTTCATGCTGTTTCCAGTATCGTAGATTGTAAATGTAACAGATTAGACTACATTGCATATTACATGAATGTGCCGGTAAAGCGAGAATAGACAGGAGTCGGGTGCTCCAAAGTCACTTTCAAAATGTATCCACCTAATATTCACTGTAACTTGGTGACCCGAGAAATAAACGTTCATCATCGTCTCGTATTTGATACAAATTAATCGATTCTTCAACTGTGCTTGCACTTCACTTTCCGGACATCCAGGCTCCACAACTATCTCGTCCCCACCTACGAGAGTGCATCAACACGACGATTCGTCCTAGCCCGTGTGGATAACATTCGTGCATGTTCCATGCCTGCATTGGAATGGTGTAAAGCAATGACTGGACAAACTAGATGCACCGTAAGTTTGGACACCAGGTCAGATTTTTAAAGTGCTTTTGCACTCACAGAGCAGTCCACATTTAAGTAGAGACGACTCTCGAGTGATACGGTGACGTCAGTGGGAAAGAAAAGCCGGGATTTCTACATGTCTAGCAATACTTTTTGCCTGCAACGTCAATCACAAATCATGGGTTGAATATATACATGACAAATTCAGAGAATCAAAAGGATTGACTAGAGAGTCAGCCAAGATACTCAATGTTGCACTTTAACAAGGTAAAAAAAAGGTTATTGAAAACGTCCATACTTCTGCGATGTTACTGTTTCTGGAGACTTTCTAACCGTTCAGGAACGTCTTATTTACTAAAGAAATGTCATTAAAAGTGAAAAAAATGACATGCCTAAGCATGAGGCTACCTAGCGCAATAAGCACAATGTCTGTCATTACAGCGCTTTTATGCACTGTTGAGCTCTGAAATACAACATAAGTAAAGGATTCCGCAATTGTAGTTACACCGTTGTTTTATAGCAAATGTATTTTACCCATGGTTTTCTGATTCACTACAGGAAGTTTTCTTGACCAGATCTCAAATAACTGAGCCTAAAACAACTGGGCTGATAGGAACTGACTATTTCAGATACATTTAAAATGAACAAGGTTGTTCAAACTCGCTATGGTGGCAAAACAAACTATAAAAATAAACAAATAGATAACACAGGACCATCATTAGTCATGGATACTGTGTCAGAACATCGAAATTTCCGCAATTTAGGCAATGAAATTCCCACAATACCTAAGGATATCTCGGACATAGACAGTGTACGTGTGTTATCATCTACAGACATTCATTTCGTGCTGTCTGTTATATCTGACCGCTGTTCCCGCTCCAGTGTCTGGTGCCAGAAGAAGAACCCACTGGAAAGGAACACAACTGCTTTATTGCAACAAGCGAGTGCGTGCGAGTGCGGCCCCACGCTATTTAAAGGGTACATTTTGACATTGATCCAGGCTGTCTAATGGGCGTTTAGTGAACACCCATACACACCTATCGTGCTTCTGTGAAATGCCTGAACGCTGATCACACTTGGTTGTGCTTCTGTGGCGTGCCTGAACACTCATCGGCTTTTGCTAAATTGGTTGACCGACCTGGATGCTTGCCGACTTCCATATTGAGATTTTCGTGAAGTTTCAGGGTCTCTGTAGGTTCCGGGCGTTTTGGGGTTACTTTCATGAATCCGACCTTCCTTATACTGTCAATTTTCGGTTCACGACAAATTTACCTGAGGCATCATCTTTATCAACTTGCCGTGGGTTTATGTACAGTTTGCACCGATTTGTACATGCTGCAGAACAAATTACAACAACTCAGTCAACATGATAACCGTTCAAGTAACCTCCAGAAATAAACCTCCATGCTCCATAAGTCCGAAAGTCAAAACGAATCTTACCATAGAAGAGGGCTTCGGATAAATACACTGTTCATTTTTGGGTAGTTAGATATGGAAATAGCTAAGTGGCTCAGAGAGCGAATAAGTGAACAAGACGAGTGCAACTTCCTTCGCAGATGTCACTGTTGGAGCCAGTCAACAAGTGTGACCACGTGATGTGGATCCTGTCTAAGTGCGAGTGAATCACACTGCTGACCAGCCACTCGTGACCGAATGCTTTAGTGTTGGAAATAGTAGCAGGGATATGGTAAGCTCGACACTCCCTAGAGCTTCGTGGGATGCGCGAAGTAGATGATTTCCAATTAGGATGAGACAGCTGTACACTGCTTCTGGAATTAGATTGTCTTCACTTGCAGGAAGAAACTTCAGCTGAAATTCGGATATTCATTTACGAATCCGTCTTGCAAAGAAAACTCCGAGGTTGAGCACTATCTTATTCCGTGCATGAGTGAACCTTATCCACAGATTCCACTGTACTTACCAACATAGCCTCTAAAAACCTCCACAAATGGTTGGGCCCTTCATGTTCGTTATAGACGGATGAGAAAATACGGCTATTGCGGAAGGCAATGGAATGGCAAACGGAGATTATGCTGGAGACTATTCTCGGTCATGGGGTGGATAACCACTTGCTTGGACTACGTCAAATCGCCATCGAACATGATGGAAAACTCCCGAAGATATTCACTGACGAAACATACATGGAGGCCAACCGCTTTCGACTGTCCACCAGTCAGGTAAGTTGCGACGGACTAGAGAGAAGCTTTTTCTTTCAACTGCAAAAATAAGTGTTTTCGTAAATTCAGATAAAAGCGCGCTGAACAAAAGACACTGATCATACTGATGGTTTTCTCTTCAGGTTTGATGGTAAACACATACAGCGGTCATCCGTAAGAGTAAGAAAAAAGTGGTTGTCGTTAGCGGTTGCGGATGCTGAATCCACAGTATAAAAATACTCCTGTGGATTGGTGTGACAAAATAGGGGTAGGGGTAGTCAGTTAAGAAAGTCTTACGACAACAGCCTCAAATGGCACCACAGGGATCGCGGCTTACTTTTCAGTTTATGACTTGTTATTAGGCAGGAACCTAGTTCCAAGGAAGAAGGGTCGGTAGCAAAACCACCGACCCATCACTATGCTTCCTAACAATTCACTGATGACGTCATCTCGACTGATGATGAAACACTTACAATCAAACTACCTAAATCAGCGAAGAAACCAATAACCGTCTATGCTACTTGAGCTACTAGCATTCGCCTCACTAGCAGAATTAAACAGTCGGTCACGACCCGAGCCTTGTACGGTGAAAGGAATATGGAATACTGTAATATACGATAGCTCCGGGGTGGCACTTATTACGGAGACCCTGGTAGGATGAGTCTAAATAAGCAGCTGTTAGAACATCGGAAAACGACGGCCTGATTGTCGTATGCAGCATCAAGTTTTTAGCTAAGAATTTTTCAGAAATCACTATTCAGGTTTACTGTATGAGGAAGACGTTTCAGCATAACAGCTATTCTCAGTATAGCTTAACATACACTACACCGTATGAGACTATGAAAATAAACGAGATGGCTAATCTCAACACCCTTTCAGCTGTACTGTAATTTGAACAGTGGAATTATCTCACTAATTGGGTGGTCATTCCAACAAGCTTTGAGCAGTACTGAAGATACGTTCCTTGGGATTCAGTAGACAATAGACTAGCGGATTGTATTGCTGTAGCATTTACAGAGAATCAAATGCAATGTTCGTCATTGAGTAACGGTGCTTTTCGTAATCGCTTAACATCGTCGGTGAACTCGGAAGGTCCTGAAAGAACTCTTCTATGAACATCGATCCTGGATAATCCAATACCGTTGGAATTAGTTTCAACACGACAGGCCTCCGTACATTAACGATTATTGTTCTGCACGCTCTTCAGTATGCCAAGAAAGCTGATGTAGAAACTGCACTTGTCAACCAGATGCACTCCTTGTTATTTCTCACTTACCCATGATAGTCCAGGCCCCATTGTCAAGTCTTAAAAGGATGGATTCATATTCAGTCATTCCTAAGCGAGGTCCGAATAAGATAAAATTAGCCCAGTAAGTAAAGTAGCCTCGGAAATGTTTGAATGCTGACCGTGATAGGAGCCAGTTATTTCAACCGACCTACATACTCCTCCTGCTCAATGTGTAGGAAATGGGAAAGCTTGATCGCGCACTAAGTAGGCTTTCCTTCCAGTAGTTGACCATGAATTCTATTAGTTTTGTTTGTTCCCTCGTCCACACTGATTTGTGAGGAGCTGAACATACAACAGCGGTGAGCGGCTTTCGGCTTTTCCCCTACCATAATTTGACGGTTTGTTATTTCTAGTGGGTAGTGACGAATTTTGTTTCGCAAAAATTTGACGACAGATGTGATGAGACGAAAATAGCTCCGTCTGAGCTGTGTTTGTGCATCTGTACAGCTCAACAGACCAATTTACTTGTGCATGCCTTGTGCAACTAACCTGTCCACACTGTGGGAACTTCGCAGCCACAACAGTAGTAGTCGCAGCAATGGAAACGAGCAACGAAGCACGAACTCCGCGTTCCGGCTAAATGCGTGTGCATTCGTGCACATGAGAAAGAAGCTGCACCAACACAATTTACCCTCTTCAGAAGTAACGGACAACAGACTTAGTAAAAACTCTGAATTCAACATTGGATGCGTGTGTTTGTGTGTGTGAGAGAGAGAGAAGTTGGCCGCCGACCCAGTGGGTGGGATAGCTTATGCTCCAGGCAGTGCGTATACAGAACAGCAGTATTTCGGTGGTGGGTGGACCAGCAGCAAATTATGGAAAGCAACCGCCAGAGGGTTGATTAAAGGACAGTCGAGTAGGCGGTTCATCAACCGGACCGTGAGTGTGTCGTAACTTTTTCAGAAATAATACACATGAAGGGCCGAGTCATCAACATTATTGCTCTCCTACGTGGATCGATGCCGTTCAGCTACCCAAGGGAGATATTTAATTGTAGCCATCTCATCCGTCACAAAGGGCGAAACTGGTGAAATGGTGGAGCTGACGCTAAGATTCCACGCCAACAAGTCCCCTGGGATGTCAAAGCACTCCGTTAACGAAGTCGTGCAACCAAAAGAGTCTAGAACTATGCAGAAAAGTTACTATCAAAGAGTGAGGTCTAGCCAAGGACTAAACCATCAGTTTGGTGACCATTTGTCACGCAGAGCAAACCACAGATTTTTTTCAACAGAAACATCGCACTCTATAACTCTATAACAAAATTAAACTCTCAAGATATGTTCAACGTTCGATCTAGGGAGCAGTTTCGCCGATAGACTGCTAGTTTACGTTAAAATCAGTAAGACAAGAATAACCTATAATATGTAGCTGGTGAAATTTTTCAGAAATTTCAACCGGGTTATCATTCTGCAAGTGAGGCAAACATATGCTGAAAAGCGATACAGTAGTATACCATTTCCATCCTCGTTGTGGATAACCATGAGTGTGCACCTCACGAAACTCTAGGTACATTGCAACCCGCAAACCGACGATTTGTTATCTGGCCACGAGTGGCTGGCCAGTGATTCGACTGACTCACACCTAGACAGGATACTGTGCTGTTCATTCATCTACGCAAATTATATTGCGATTGCACGTTCTGATTTCTCCAGGGCATTTTTTCTGAAGGCAAAGTGACCAACTTCAACGATAATGTAGACATCATTACTTATGTCCACCAACCATAGTGAATAAGTCTACTGGTCAGTGATGACGCGAAAAGCAACTTCATGATGCACAAGCTGTTCTTCACAGATTGCATCATTGAATGGAATGCTCATCATCATGCTACTGATTTATACAGGGCTCTAGATTTTGAACCAAGCGTTCGTCCTTTGGCGTGGCGCAGTCTCTTGAGCTCCTTTTGAGGAAAGAAAAAATCCTACAGCAATTGTTCGGCTGGAAAAGAAAGTGGTTGTTTTCTGTTTACGCGCTGGATGAGATCCAAAGGGTGTACATTGACCGTGGTCCAGGAGCAACCAGAATTAACCATTTGCCAAAACTAATATTTCACTGAGCCCTGGAGAGTACTTTCATCCCAATACTTTTTAGGGCTCTTGTTTTGCTGATCTTCAGAGAGCACCAACTGCCGCCCAAAATACCACGTGCCAAAACCTGGACGGATCAATGTTGCACCGAAAGATTAGCAGTATGTGCAATGTCAACAATCAAAACCTTTAATAATCCACAGGGTCCTATCCCCTTCTTACGGGTGAAGCAACGCAGCTTCAATCTTATCGCAGTTAACGAGTGGTAGCTGGCCTCAGTCTGGGTGAAACCGATTGCCACACTGTCGAATCAGAATGCTCACGAAATTTACATGTGCTCAAATCTAGGTGATGGGTTTTCGGCAGGTATTTGGATCAGCTGTTTATAGAAGTCGTGTTTTGGTGGGGACCATTTCTAAAGCCCCTCTTCTGTCATCCGATGTACATTTTCGACCTACAGCCGAAGCTACAATCAGACAAGTTGCCACCACTGCAATATGCCTTTGTGTCGCACCACATCACACAATAACACCCTCTCAATTTAATTTGGCAATTTTTTCACTTTTTTTCAACTTGTGATATTTGTTTAAATCAATCTGACGTGACAGTGGTGTTGATAGCATAGTCGTAACAAAACCTGTTGTAGATGGAGTGGGCAGTTGTGAACTGGCTAATCATCACGGATTGCTTCACTGCCTGAAGACAGACTACCGTGGCACAAGTTGTCCGGCAGAATAACCGTCTTTCGGAAACGAGGAATGTTATGGTGTGGTCCATTACCTCATCTACGCAAACCGGTGTCATAATCGTATGATAGGGACAGAAGCATCATTTACTTCTTTTCAACTGAGTCCTGTAAAATATGCACGAAATGTTTGTTCGGCAGTTGGGAAACAGTTGAGATAAACGGTTTGCGTGTACATAAAATCAGCTAAGATTGTGGGCACTTGTTACGGATGAGTTACATGATCTGTTTTACTTGAAAAAGCACACTTGCCGCGAAGTTGGTTGGGTTTTGTTCGGAGGTGGGTTTTTCCCATCTACCTCAAAGGATGAAACTGGCTGATCGAAAACCATGTCTTGCATGGAGATGGCGATTACATGGGAGTCTTACAAGAGAGATAACTGCATTTTCCAGCTCACCGTCGATTTGGATGGATAAGTTGAGCCTAACAGTACCTACCATTAACTACGCACAATCTCAGCAAGCGTCAGCGAACTACCCAACCGCACCACATTTCCGTAGGCGTCCGCATGCAAAATAGCGCTGTGTTTCTGGTGACGTGCTGAAAATGTGGATCAGAACTCCAAACGGAGAGTGGTATCCGGGGTGAAAAACCTAAAAGCCCGTTAAAAAGCTTGAGCTAGAACCGAGATCATTTGAGGCTTTATCAAAAAAGTTTGTTCCTGAAAGCACCTAATGCAATACAATACTGGTATATTGAACAAACTATTGGACCACCAACCATTGGTGCGGAAGACTATTCTAATTAATCTTCTCCCACACCATCACGTTGTTACCTTTGAAAAATGTTTCCTCTGAGGGAGCGCCATGGAGGAATTTCCCAATATTATACCAAAGGCTACTGGTAATATCGTCTTCTAGAGTGTTTGGACAAATTTCCGCTCAAAATGAACTCCAAGTCTTCTAAATTCCACGAATCTGTTGTAACCGATTCCGGTTGTACACTCAATTTAGCTGCAAAAATTAAAAAGCCTCAATTTCGTTTGTTTTGTCATCAACAGGTACCTACAACAATGGACGCATTCATGTGTTACGGAGCCGTGGTCCCTAACGGTTATGGGGCGGCCTACAATCCACATCCCAACTACATAGTTACCGTCATTTCTTGCTGGCGCACCAACCCGGAAAATAGCGCGGCCAAATTTGCCGAGATGCTCACAGCTGCTTTCACAGAGATGCGTGATCTCGTTCTGTCCAACCCCCAGTTGGCCAAAGAGATGTCGAAGGAGCCGGTGGAGTGGAGCATAGCACGATCACTTGGAGCCGACATGACCTCATCATCCGCAGTTTGATAGCATCAACATCTCTTCCCACCGTACTCCATCCCATTCTAAAACCACTTCACATATTGACTCATTCAGATTACCAAATAGCTCTTCCGGAAAAACGCATCATCACTCTTTACTCATTTGTCGGACAAAAACATTTCTTATTCTCTTAGATACGACCAAAAAGCGTCGAATGCAAGTTCCATAAGCTAGCAGATATCCAGATTATTTGCGTATATACATGCTCATTTTCACACAAATCCATACATGTGGATACATGTGAACAAAATACGACATTAATTGGCTCAAGAGTGGTTAACTTTGATCGAAAAACTCCCTCAACAAGCCGATTCGGTTGTGAACTGTACAAAACAACAATCGTTTTATCAATTAGTATGATTATTGTTTTGAACACATATTTACCTACCAGTATCAAGCACACACACATAATAAAGGCTAAACGGCTTCAAGAAGTCGCCTATTACTTATTCAACTTGTATAAACGTAGTCGTTTTATTTATTTACTGTTCCGCAGAAACAAACTATTTATTTCTCACCCATATGAGCAAACAAGCAGATCTACACATCCTTTGGATTCCACATTCTTCTTATTGTCACCTTAGTGATCAAGTCACTCAATATAAAGAATAACGGCCTACTTCCTTTTTTCACCTAGTTCTATGTGAAACCCATAGGCAAGGAATGACCTCATCCAATGATCTTGGAGACGATTTCCAACCTCCAGCTTCGAAATCAGTGGTTGTATGAGCCTCGAAATGATAGACACAGACAACAGACTTTGGCAAAAGACTTTGACGGTTCTCTTAGGAAGATGAAACGCGCATCACACACAGGCACACAAAATAAACATTCACACACTATCCCCCAGGTTTTTTTCTGGTAGTCCAAGTCCTTCTGATGAAAATACATCTTTGGGGATGGTTCACGTGTCGGTTGTCCACGAAAACCCTGAGTGTAAACAACGACGTTTGAGGTTGTCAGAAGTTTTTGCCGTTACTTCATTTGAATGTGTGGTCGTTCATTCACAGCACGAATCCCCTTGGGACTGTAGGGAAATGTGGTATCGAGCATATTTGCTCATATGAATCATTCAAATAGCTGGATTTTTACGCTTTTGTCTCATGCTCCGAATAATCGAGAAAAACAGGGCGGTCCACTTTGACCGGGAATCCTTCACACTTATTCCCGTGCGATACGGCAGGAATACCCAAATGGTTTGGAAAGGCAGCCCATCAATACTATGCTTTTAGAAACACTACATCATGGCCCTCTGTTGGTTCAATATTTTTCTATCAGCAAGTTGGTGGCTGACCAAAATAGTACATGGTGCTCCAAACTTGAGGTCCCCAGATTAGGGGTTGCCACGTTCTGTGATGGATGAATATATCTGACCTTCCCACGAGGAACACAGCTTATCGAATAAAAAACGTCACCAAGATCAAAATAAAACTGATGAAAACTCGAGGGTCATGTTTACTCGATTAGCCCTTAAAAGTGGGAAACTGGTAGTGGAGTGTCGAACATTTTTCATCGGCCTCATAAATATTATGCAAATAGCTCCAAATCAACTCATTTCCTTGGTGCATTTGAAGGAAGCACAAAACATTGCAGCTTTGTGTGATAGTTTGGACATATTTTACTGCCAGTCATCAGGCATACACTGCAGTAGATATAATAAAATGGAAGATAGCTGGGTTTGATGTGAAATGGGCTGTCGTTCGATGAATAAGTCACTATACTACCATGCAAAGGACAACAAGTGCTTCCTTCCAAACCATTCGTGAGTCTCTTTCGGAAGCAACTCAATATAAACGTTTGTCTGTTGCTAACGACGTCTCAAATACATTTTGTTTCAATTCTCTAACAAATGACTCGCGATAGGAGGAGATGGTTGCGGTTGTGTGGTAGGTTGTCCGACTCCCGCAGGGATGTTTCCCGTGATCTTTATTCAGTCAGGCCACACTACAAAGTTATTGATATCGTCATCTTTGGATTGTAGGCACGGAGAAACACTGGATGCGCTTGGTTAACCGTAGCACCTTGTAAGACCAGTTGAGTCCAACGTTTCATCGAGGGACCGCAATGCAAAGGCGACAATACCGCTCGAGCAATTCCCTCTTGCTTGCTCACACATATTCCCCACTGTGGTTTCCTTGTATTTGACTGACGACTAACCCTAAAATTAACATACTTGAGTGGAATCAACCGTTTTAAAGACGCGTAAAAACTTCACTGGATAGGTCCTAAGACCCAACAAGATGCAGGATGTACTCAAACAATTCCTACTATGCTACATTTCGCAACACCAAAAACCCTGTGGATAACTGACCTTGGTGCAATATGGAGCGGAGAGAATGTCCCTGTAGGACGGGAGATATTGACGGTTATTCCTGTCCTCAAAAAGGGTATGCAGATACTGTGTGAAAATCACCGTGGCATCAACCTGGTAGCTGTAGCATCGAAGTTGCCCTCTGGTCTGATCCTTTAAAAGCGAACTGAGCACAAGGACAGACCCATGAAAACCAAGTTGGGTTTCTTACTGAAAGAGGATTCATCGACCACATTTTAACCCCCCGACAGATTCTGAAAGAGCTCATGCGTCACTCGCCCACAGACATTGAGTACGCAGTCGACATAGCTCTTCTAAGATCCTGTGCCGCCGTAATGCAAATAATATTGAATAACCTACATAACTCTGCCTCACAGTTTGGCATGCGCTCCACGCCTGCAAATTGTAAAGTGCTACTGGAAAACTGAGTGGGCTCGAACCCTAACCATATAATTGCGGACGAGCCGCTTGGAGTAGTAGACAAGTTTAGCTACCTGGGCAGCTTTAACGGTCCTCGTGGTCTCGCGAAAGATGACATTCCAATCCAGATTGGGAAGGCCGGAGCACTTTTCGTAAGCCTGCATCACCAGTAATATAGACGTGACGTCAGCTTATCCGTCAAGGGTCGAGTGTACAACGGTGCGTTGCGCTCCATATTATTATATCGGTTCGAAACCTGACTCCAGCTTTGCCCGGATCTGATGTGAATGCCGGACCAGCAATGCTGAAGTAATTCGAATGGGTTTTGGAAGAAATAGTTCGCCCATGATAAATGCACTGATCACACTCCATACGTTGCGCTGGTTTCGCAACGTGCTCCGTATGCCAGTCAACCGAATTCCCCGAAGGATTCTTTTCTTACAAGCGCGCGAAGGGTGGAAGCAAAACACAAGTCAAACAATGGCTTGGTAACGAAGTATGAGAGCCATTACCTACAAAGTCAGTTGCGCTGGTCATTGCCGTCTTCCTGGACGGGGACCCCGAGACGAAACACATAAATGGTTGGAGACGCAGTCAGACATGGCCCACTCGCGCCCCCAATGGCGCTGGTGCATCTAAGCTATTGCCTTCAATGCATAGCTATTTTCCCAACCTGCCCACTTAAAAGTGCACTTACAACCCTATATTTACCCATTAGTTGTATCAGCTGTCGCCCCTAATGCGCAGCTATCTATCCCCACCTTCCAAATCATCGGTGAACGAAACCGTGGCAGCTATAACCGCTATACAGCAATTACGCGGTTCTTACAGCTGATGATGATGACTGAAAGTAAGAAAGGTTTATGTTGCGCAAAAGGTGGATCTTCTGAATCGCCTCCTAAGTAAAGGTTTCCTGCAAAGGAATGTGACGCTCATAATTTTAAAATATTAAGAACCGTCATGCCGATATCAGTTTTCATTTAACTCGAGGGTGATAACAAAGTGGTGGACCAGTCCGCAACCCAAAAAGCTTGGAGACCCCCGCTCAAGACAGGACGCGGATGGGTTTCACGTACAACTCGAGCTTAATATTCAATGTACATTGGGTGAATCGAGAGTACTGTGGAAAACAAAACGGTAACTAGTCGTTCAAAAACTCTTATTAAATTTTCTCCGTAGTTCTGTAAACGCTATAATGCTGAGTTATTCAGTCCTCAGGAAATTCTTATCCATCCCAACAGATCAGGTTCCCATGCAAATCACAAACCCGGGAGCCAGCTGATTTACTTTTATGAAGAAGGGCACGGTGATACTAAAGTGTATTTTCTGTAGGTTACTAATTGCAAATCAGAGGAAAAAACAAGATGAGACTCGTCACTTTCTGATGATTTCCAGGACTCGTTTCCGGTAGCTGATTTCTCCCTGTTCGATTTGGCGCAAAACTGTGTTCTGCGTGAAGGAAAAGGAAGGTTGAATAAAAATACGTACGAAAGAGAATATAATGAGTCGTGAAATGTGCGCTTAGGGTCTAACGGAAAACCGTGTATCTCAACAGCGACTCGTAAGTCAGTAGATGGGTGGGACTGCGTCCTCCAATCCAGTAGCCGTGAAATATTACCGAGTTTACGACAACTAGGGACATTTTAAACCGGTCAAAAATAGTCACTATATGAACGGTAGTTGAGTACCTAGAGATCAAAGTCGTGCAACTGATTTATACTCAAGTTTTGAAAGTGAGTTGGGTGGTAAAAAAAACAATGCAACCGGCTCCTTAGGTACCTAATAGCAAGCTACTTGTTCTAAAACTGCACCCAGGATAGACAGAAAACAGATCACTGTCACTGAAGTTGGCTTCGCCACGTATGAATTCGGTCATTCCAAAAACCGTCAAAGAGAACAAACATTCCGCGTGACATTCGGCCAAAACTCCTCCTGAGTTCGAAGAGGTTGTGTGACGGTTTTCAAAGTGTTACAGAACTTCGGAGGCTGGAGGAGTGGTTCCCAGAAGGGTTCCAGCACGTAAAAAGGCACTAAAGGGTGGTGACGTCTATGGCAACCAGTGTGCCACAGTAGTAGCTGATCACAGTACCATCAAATCTTCAGAAGCTCATATCACAAGAAACTGAACAAGTCCAGGTCATCGCCATTAATGTTCTGTGTACTGTAATGAATTAAGTAGACAGCCATTCTGACTTTTTTAATCCATTATCATTGATGCCGCGACCAGTGGTTGAAGGGAGGGGACGTAGGGGAAAAGAGGTTGAATACCCTCGTTAGTTAGTGACACAACTATAATAATACGAACGATCCACAAAGTACTCTCGAATAACCGAGGAATGAAAAAACCGCTTGGAAAGATACGACTGAGTTGCAGCATACCTCAGAATGATCTGATATCGAACGATGTGTATCAAGGTATCAACACAAGGTAGCGCCACGATTTTCGGTTGATGTCTTGCACTATCGGACTACTGCGCGCGCTAAAAGTAGTGAGAAAATTACCGGCCGAACTGAAGGATCAGAATAGGACGAACGAGAGTTCTAGTGTGATTGCACGGATCGCCAATTAAATTCTGCGCTTGGCTTGACCGACCTTTGGAATACATAATATTATGGACATAGCGCGTGAGGAATCTGGCCGTGAGCAGTGAGATGTGAAATGTCCTGGAGCAAAAGAATTCCCTACTAAAATATCCAGGCTCCATTTTCAAATTAGGCAGTAAACTTATCCTGTATTCCAATAAACAGGATGAGCTGGTCACTGGTCACTTACACAACCAAGGCGCGGTCGCAGAGTTTCTATACGCCTTTATTGGGGGGGTCATTGATGGGCTGTTTCTCAGGCCAAAACCTAAGCTAGTACTAAAGCGGATGTTGCGGACCCTAAACCAGGTCGTCCACATACTCAGAGACCCTTATCTTCCATTCTGAAGGCGTATGTGTTCCACCTCTAGGAATCTTACCCGCGTTAAATGACCAAATTATTCTAAATGGGCGGTAGTATCATTGTGGCAACTGGTTCAGTCACTTGGGGTTCAAAGTTAAATAGATGGCTAACGCACTGGATACATAGTATTTCGAAAGCCTTGTCGTATTTGAAATGAACCCGGAGCTTATGAGTGTCGTGCATAGCCATACTGCGAATAAAATGAGCTTTCAAGTGAAGTCCGTTAGAGGGAGTAACACAGTCGGTTGTTGGCCTGCTACTGTTCTGGGCAGGTTGCAGAGATATCAGCATTAAAGAAGGCAATAAGGTATGTATTTTATTCGGTCGTCGTTCGGACTGATTGTGAACTCTTGACAGTACTTCTAATAGGGGTTATGGGTGAATCTTCCTCCTATGCATTCGGCCATGTGTAGATGCCTAGCTTTTTCTAAAAGTGAAGATTTACGTTGTGTGAAGGAAAGGTCTTCCGTAGGAAGTTCCCGATTGGCGGAAATTCAATGACTGCAATAAGGGGTGCGTAGAAAGGGCCGCCATGATATGGGATAATGATTAGTACAATTATCTCACCCGATTAGTGTTGAGTAGAAGGTAAATTGCAGCACCAACTCCACATACACCTAACAGCATGAGTCCCATCCGCGGTGAGGGTTGAATATATTCAGCGTGGGTCACGCGCGCCGAGTACCATCGTTGAAGCGCCGGATCGTGCTATAAAATTGTAAAGGCATTGATAAGATGCTCACAGCCTTCACACACTCTGAACAGCTTGGGAGCAACATAGTGATTATCCAAAGGAAGGTCGAAGGACAGTCAACTAAAATTCCGAGGCAAGTACACTTATTTCACACAGAGAAACGTTGAACGGCAAGAAAACGTATGTTTCCGGTTTTGTTGCCAAAGTAAAAACCGGATGTCCCACTTCATTACAGTTCCCGCACGACAAAATATCCATTAGACTTGGAAAAGTTATATACAAAGTTGATATCGGGTCACGTGACGTGAACGGGAGAAAGTGGCACTGCATCCAGTCCAAGGGCTTATTAGTCACATTGTTGACCAGTCATTCTTAGCAGGCAGGAGATTAAGGGTTCAAATTTGCATACATTCGTGAGATGCGAACGGACGACTACTGCGAGTAAAAACGAAACAATTGTAGTGTTGTTGGCTCTTTCAAAACAGATCGATTTCACTTGCGTGAATAAAATTTCATTTGAAACTTCAAAATATTGTTACTGACACCAAACTATGTGACCTGCTAGGGATGAAGAAACCTCAGAAGTAGCAATAAGTTTTCGTTTGGAAGTCATCACCCCAGGAGCCAGTGAGTGGGGGAGTACCTTCAGGGGATTGAGTCGCAAGAGAATAGTGGCACTAAAATCATACTGAGTGTTGGTTAAACATACTCCTAAGAAGTCTTTCATTGCCGAATACCATGGTCTTCAACCAATAATAGGTTTCGAGGTTGAAATTCCCTGGAGATTAGTGGGATTCCAAAACTTCGATAACAGTTGTGCAGTGCACCTCGGCTCTTGCAAGGTAAAACCTCAGTCGAAATGTAACAATCGGGTGACGACGACATCTGTGGCCGATGTCTGAAAAACAACCGAAGATGAAGTTCATCGAAAAGTACACCATGGATTGAAAGATAAATTACCACTTTTTGAATCAAAGTGACGAATTCACCTCCCCAAATTAGATTCTCACAAGGACTTAATTCGTTCCACTGCTGACTGATTTCAGTTCCACTTTTGAGACACTCATCTATTTGAATAAAAGATTATTCGGCTCATCCATCCTGTGGATAGGCCATGACGAGGAGGAAATACCACTCAGTTTATACCGCTAGTCAGCAAAAATGGCAACTTTCTTCAGTGAATCCAAGGTGGGGAGGGCTCTCCCAAATTGATGCCACCGGCCCGAACAGTTTGGACATCCGTCATGAAAGCATCCAAACCTGTCGTGGTGTCAAGGATTGCCTATATCCGTGTACAAAAGGACTGAAGGAATTAATGGGACACTGGTAGACACAAACCAGGCTCTGATTAATAAAGCCTCTTTATCTTACGGATTGGGGATCGAAGCATGAGTGACAAATTAGTCCACAAACACTGGGCTACGGCGGTAGTCACGGTCCTCGCTGTCGAACTTTTCAGTTTCAGCTGAGGATTCCGATCGAACACGTCTGGGTTTGAGCACAATGGCAGTAACCTGGAGTTCGAGATAGCTCAGTGGTTGAGGCACGAAGCCATCGACCAGAAAGTCCATGGTTCGAACTCACCCTAAGCATCTCGGATTTCTTGCCTAGGCTTTGGGAATCTAGCAGCATCTCAACTGTTCTTCAGGCTGCATGACAGCTAGGCACCGAAAGATTACTTATGATAAATTGTTATTTATTATTGATATTAATACTTCCGTTACTATTGTGTCGTCGTTATTTGTTTACTTATTACTAGTATTGGTGTACACAAATGAGCTGCTTAAACAGAATAACTTCGTGCTACAATGGCTGTCGTGCGGTGTTATCATCAAGGCAACCATGCTGAGAAATCGCACTTCGTCTTCACGTGCATGGCCACTGGGTTAAAGGTCAAACTTTCCACTAGAAAATAAACAAGTCTAAACACACTTGTGCAGTAGAATAGACCTTGCACTGCAATAAGCTGGAAAAAAAACAGGAGAAACCGACATACTAACATGGGAAGTAAGATCACCGCTAAGTATTGGATTGACACTAAAGTACACATTGCAAAAAACTCACGGGTGTGCCAACAGGAGGCTTGAAAGGGTTGGTGTAAATCTTTCGGTATTCGGCTTTCATCGCGTCTCTGTATTTGGCTCTCTCTTTAATGGCCAGTTGCTCCTCGGGACTTTCATGAAAGGTTTTCCAAGGATCAAAGGGAACTGATGACGACATGTGGTTGGAAGTAAGATCGCAAAACGGAGGTTTGACTAGTGGACACCTTCCAGAAGAAGGATTAAGGCTGGAATGAAAACGAAAACAAGTCTTTTGTGAGTTGGTATCGAAGGACAGAATTATAATTAACATGAGCAAGAGTTTTTGCACATCTTTAGAGGAGATGTGATAAGGTCACAGGCACGTGCAGGGGTTACTGCAAAATCAGCAAACGAGGCTACATAATACTATTCTGGTATAAATGACACGACCGAGTGAAGGTCACAAAGTGACGCAGGACCCGAACAAATACTGGTTTTGGAACCCTCCCATGAGGGTGCATCATGACTCATTTCTGTACTACAGCTTAAAAAATGAATATCGGCAGTAGCCAAACGAATACACAAACGTCGCAGTTCGATGTTGCGACGAGTAACAGAACCTTAAGACAAACAAATAACGTCGCAGTTCGATGTTGCGACGAGTAACAGAACCTTAAGACAAAGCAGATACACGGTCGGAATAGAGGGTCCAACGACACGACGACACGAAGCACGGACACAACGGTGGTTGTAGCATGGGTGGGAATGCTGCTCATAACTGAACGGATTTGTTGGCAGTCGGTTTTCCTTTTATAGAAAGGATATGCGAAAAAGCAGCATGATCAACAGAGTAGAAAGATAGAAATAGGGGTCGATCTCCCCTGTGGATGGCGGTTCTCTCGAAGTTATTGGAAAGAAGGGATATGGTCAGTGCATCCACCAACCGAGAAAAATTGAGATTTTAACATTTCTTGTCCGAGTGACGATGGACGTGCGTAGGATTATAACTGTAAGTAGCTAAGAGGCGGATACCCATGGGTGGTAGTGCACTTTTGAAAATTGGAACCACAGTATATACGTCACAATCTGCAGCCACTTCTGTTGCTTTCGATATGTTCAACGTGAGCTCCACCGGACAATGAAGCTTCTACGAATACACAAACGTCGCAGTTCGATGTTGCGACGAGTAACAGAACCTTAAGACAAAGCAGATACACGGTCGGAATAGAGGGTCCAACGACCGGAAGACACGAAGCACGGACACAACGGTGGTTGTAGCATGGGTGGGAATGCTGCTCATAACTGAACGGATTTGTTGGCAGTCGGTTTTCCTTTTATAGAAAGGATATGCGAAAAAGCAGCATGATCAACAGAGTAGAAAGATAGAAATAGGGGTCGATCTCCCCTGTGGATGGCGGTTCTCTCGAAGTTATTGGAAAGAAGGGATATGGTCAGTGCATCCACCAACCGAGAAAAATTGAGATTTTAACATTTCTTGTCCGAGTGACGATGGACGTGCGTAGGATTATAACTGTAAGTAGCTAAGAGGCGGATACCCATGGGTGGTAGTGCACTTTTGAAAATTGGAACCACAGTATATACGTCACAATCTGCAGCCACTTCTGTTGCTTTCGATATGTTCAACGTGAGCTCCACCGGACAATGAAGCTTCTCTTCTCCGTCCCCAAATATGGTGGGCGAAAGATAGAGTGGATTGAACACCCTGCACTGGTCCCAGAATCCTAGCTCATTCAAAGCGACAACTTACGTCCCACGTTGAAACAATCGTAACGTTTATCGTCAAGCGGAAGGTCCTCAGGAACGCTCTGCTTATCGTAGAAAGTGAAGACTTCATGGACCCATTATTCTACACCAAGTCTTCAATGTCTGGCAGTCTCTTTAGCCAACTGTTACACGTCGGGTTACCAAATGTTCTGAGCCGCTTCTACAGTTCGTTAACCTCCATTTGCTACGAACTAACTGGTGCTTTGGAGTACTTCGTGATGCATCCTGTTGTCTGCTTTGAGACATGGATCCGATCAATTCAAACAGGCTTCAGAGGTATTATAAGACCTAAACGGAAGTGAGCTTTGTATCCAGATGCAAGTGCTTAAAGACTGAATCCACTGCATTTCATGCTTCTTCCCATTCTTTCTCTAGTTGAGTAGTTTGATTTATAGGTAAGAGCAGTTTGTTGGGACGTTGCTGGTAAACGTATTTGGTGACTGCGTGTTTCAGATGTGTAGATCCGATCATTCAAACAGGCTTCAGAGGTATTATAAGACCTAAACGGAAGTGAGCTTTGTATCCAGATGCAAGTGCTTAAAGACTGAATCCACTGCATTTCATGCTTCTTCCCATTCTTTCTCTAGTTGAGTGGTTTGATTTATAGGTAGGAGCAGTTTGTTGGGACGTTGCTGGTAAACGTATTTGGTGACTGCGTGTTTCAGATGTGTAAGATAAAATCCATGGATAGTTATCCTTATATCTGCCGGAAAACGGGTTCCGAGACGTGCAAAGTCAGGACGTGGTCCGAATCTGTGCAAGTGTTGCAAAATGAACGGGTCCGAGACTCGAAATCGCCAAAAATATCCTATAGTATGACATTTCAGCGCTCAGTTGACAATAACTTGGACGATGCAAGTGAAGTGTGTCTATCTGCGTCAGAAATCCGTGCCTGCGAAAACGGGTGATAATTAACGTTAGGGTGAAGTGACAACCAGAAGAGGTTCTGAGAAAAGACACACCAAATCTGCTAACAAAAACTTCCCTGTTGATCAATTCTTTTAAAGTAGGCGTCCATACGAAAGTGGCCTCATCCACACTAGCTGAAAATCGAGTCAACCTAATGGCTATAGCTGTCACAGACTCGTTCGCAGAAGACATGGAAAATAGAGACAGATAGATGCACAGCTGTTGAAAGGATCCAGGGCTGGCAGGGTGGGAGGGTGAGCAATGCATAGAAGAAAGCACGAGGCTGTGATACTTTCACGGAGCAGTCAAGATGTCGGTGTTGAGTTCGTACCACGGACCTTCCGGTTACTGTTTCCGCCTCAGTTAGTGAACTTTCTCGAGTTCACTCAGGCCTACAAGTAAGCTGGACGATGTGGTTGAACTTTACATGAAGGGTTGAATCAGCTATGATGGCCTGGTTGGAGATTGAGAC